GTTGCGGACAACTACTGATGTAGGCGTAGGTCCGACGCAGAAGTATAAATCAGCCTTTACACGATCAAGGTCCAGAAACGTAGCAAGGAGATTGGTAAAATAATCCATGTGACATCAGGGGTTAAACCGTAATATTACGAAGCTACGAGAATACTTTTTGTGCACAAAAGAAAAGAAAAAAAACGACTTTATTCAACAATCCTCTGTGCTATTTTTGAGAATATCCACTGAACGTAAATTGCATATGCTGTTTTGTGTCAGCTGCGCCACGTGGATACGCTGTTTATGCTTTGATTTGAACGAAAACAATGTATCCTCGTGGCGCAACTGACTCCAAAATGGCGCTAGGGTGACGCGGAGGATTCGAATTGTTGAATAAAGTCATTTTTTTCCTCTTTCTTTTGCGCACAATAAGTATTCTCGTAGCTTTGTAAAATTACGGTAGGGCTGTGCTATTAATCGCATGCGATTCATCTGTGATTCTGAACGCGATATTGCCTAATTGTCAGTGAACTACGGCTCTGTGTAGTGAATTTACACGGCTTTACTGACGAGATGCGCATGACAATCGCATGCGATTAATTGCACAGCCCTAAATTACGGTTGAACCCCTGATGTCACATGGATTATTGTACCGATGTCCTTGCTATGCTTCTGGGCCTTGATCGTGTAAGGACCCTTGCTGTCTATGGGAGGGTCAGAGAGCTCTCAGATTCCATCAAAAATATCTTAATTTGTGTTCTGAAAATGAACGGAGGTCTTATGGGTTTGAAACAACATGAGGGTGAGTAATTAATGACAATTTCATTTTTGGGTGAACTATCCCTTGAAGTTCTATGGCACCAAAAATAGCCATGATTTTTTTTTTTATGACAATAAAATGCCCATCCTCTCACTAACCATAGAAATAAGTTTTGCTACTGTACCTTTAAGACCATTTTATGTAAATGACCTGTTATGCTCAAATAACCTTCACATGATAGCACAGTTTACGCATTGTTCATCTGGGCAAGCCAAATTGCTGAACAGACATTGATATGCAAATATAGTGGTGATTGTGCCATGATAACCATGACCATTTTCCAAATGAGCAGTTTTTTGCAGCTTTGTTTCAATTAATGGTCCATATTCTACATTTCACAAACAGGCATGATGGGATCTGACAGAATCTGCTAACGTTAACTGCAGGGATTACACTTCTCCTCATGCAACAAACCATTACACAACCATAGAAACTTGAGACACATGCAGCCTTAACAGCCCGTTCAGGATTCTGCCCTGAGCCACTGCACTATGGGTAAGGGAGGACACTTATGTTTCTGTAGCAGTATCCTTGAGCGTGGAAAAATAAAAACGAAGACCGGGAAAGAGCTTGATGGAGAGAGACATTTCATAACCATAGAATCTGTGTAAAACATAACCCAATCCCAAACAATTCAGCAGCAATTTACTGAAATATAAACAAAAAGCTGAATGAAGAACAAACATTTCATAACCATATGATAAACAGAGATTTACAATATTCAATTCAGCAGCAATTCAGAGGTAAAAGGGTCACGACTGGAGCCTTACATAAAGAAAAGACATTTATTACTTGTCACAAGTGAAGCACATGAAAGAAGGGTGTGCGTAGGGACTCCTCGCCCTGTTCCCCGGTTGAGAAAGGTCACAGAAAGCGAAGATGTTGTGTTTGTGAGGGTGGACTGCGGAGGAAACATGACGTGGGTGCAGAAAGGGTGTCTGTGTGGGGAGAGAGAACGAACGGGAGAAACAGAGAAGGAGAAAAGAAGGGTGTTTCCTCACTGAGCTGATCAAATAAAATCTGTTTTTATGTATTTTGCAAAATCCAACTATCCAGAATCCGCCCACATTGGACTAAATCACAACATTACAATTCCAAGGTTAATCACTTGTCTTTAAACACTAGGCTCGGAATACTCTTCATTGATCCATGCGGCATTAAATAAAGCTCAACACTGACCCACACCAGACCCTAAACCAATGTGCCTTTATTATGCTGCTTTAAGTGTGTGAATGGTGGCTGTTTGATTGGTAATTGGACTGAGATATAGCTGAACCTGTTCTTGGGGGACAGGAGCTTGTGTCATTGCACTGAAGAACAGATCTAGAGCTGGGAGTGCATGTCAGAGGTCCACACTCATCTGTAATACAGCATCATCTGAATACATCAGCCCTATTGTGAGTGAACAGACCAATGCTGTCCCCTTGAGTCTGACTATAACACTGCAGCCAGCTAAAGATCATGTGCTACAGACCTGCAGAATGAATGCTCAACACAAATAAATCAGCTCAATGTTTGTCCACTCTTTAAAATAACAAAGTTGGAACTACGAATGTTGAAAATGCACAAAGAAACCAAGGTTCCTCGTCTACGCCAACCTCATGATAGAAGATAATTTATGGATCATGCGCTTCTCCGTGAGAATTGTTCTTCATATTTTGTAGGTTGCTCTTGAGAAACCTGGGCTTCCATGCTTTTACAAAACCTCTGGCTAAAACACCTCTAGCAATAATATTGCTTTCTCCAGTGGAAAAATCTAGTCTGAATCAGGAGAGAAATATGCACAGATCATGCACTACTTCAGTCCAATACAGTTCTAAACAAACATGTCAGAGGACACCAGTAGATGCACTTTTTCACTGGAGGAGGTGTTATTACGATCGGTTTAAACGGTGGATTTGTTTCTTACAAACATGCAGTTTTCGCTTCACAACGTTTATCGGTCCACTGGAGTCCTGTGATGTTTTTATCAGCTGTTTGAACTCTTTCTGACGGCACCCATTCACTGCTATTCATTGTAATCCTAAAAAGTCATCTACATCTTAGATGGCCTGAGGATGGGTCAATTATAAGAATTTATGGGTGAACTATTCCTTTGAAGCAGATCAAAATTTCACAAAAATAGTGCAGTAGCGCCCCCTGCTGACCATACGTAATATACACAATACAACGATATATAATTACTCGTATTGCACATTTCAAATTGTAAAACGGGTTTTGTGTTGTAAGTGTCTAACTTACCTAGCATCAAAATGTTTTCTTCCGTTCCCACGTGCTGTTTGAGCAGATGGTCAAATTTAGTGAAGTCCCCGAACCACTCGAAGCTGTCCTCCGAGTGCAGTAGCGCCCCCTGCTGACCATACGTAATACACAATACAACGATATATAATTACTCGTATTGCACATTTCAAATTGTAAAACGGGTTTTGTGTTGTAAGTGTCTAACTTACCTAGCATCAAAATGTTTTCTTCCGTTCCCACGTGCTGTTTGAGCAGATGGTCAAATTTAGTGAAGTCCCCGAACCACTCGAAGCTGTCCTCCGTCCGGTACCGTTCATTCCAGTAATCCACATCCTTATATCTGGCATTAGAGTCCGGCAAACACTCCATCCTACTTTAAAACATAAACGAAAGTCCTTAGCTTGTAATTAAAATATGCATTACTGCCATAGCATCACTTGCTGTTGTGATGGTTTGTAACACAACGACAAGCCCAACTGTGTCTGGGTCAGATCTGTAAATGCTTTGCATAATGTTGATTGATCACACGAAACACTAATCTGGTTAAACGCTTTGAACCAACCAGGTCTCATAGTAAACTATCAAGTTAAAATCGGTATTTAGAGGCTCTTACCAAGTCAATGTCTTAATCAGTCTTACTGTGAATTATAACATGTGCATCTTAAACACCGAATAAGAATAGAGGAAACTACAAGAGGGTATTTTAAAGCAGATCTGTGGGTGTTCTACCCACATGAGTTTTTTTCATGCATTCTAACCTCGTGGTCATCATGACGCCAAGAGTGGGACTTTAATGCCGTGATGTCAAAATAAAAGTCTCATAAAACGCAAGAGGTTGTTTGCTTGACATTGGGAAATTAACCTCACATTGTTTATGTACACAAGTATATGTCTTATGTAGACATATTTATATTGATCATAATATTGCACAATTATGATTCTCGTCATACGATTATTGTTACTATGGTCATGGTTACTTGCCCAGTTTGATTATAGGTTGGCTTTCAACCACAATCAATAGCTCCGTTTTAATCAAACTACATCATCCTTTGGTTTCCTGTCTATTAAGACTATAATGTGCCTTTTAAAGCTTCATGACCGTCTTCTGTATTGAATAATTCATCTGCACCATTAACGGTTTGGTTTTCAGTCATTGTTATCCTGATGGTCCTGTACAATAAACTCGTGAAAACCCAAGAAGCTCGCCAAAACGCTGATACAACGTTCCAAAAATATTTTAAAACGACAGTGCCAGGCTAAAATAAAGTCAATGTTAAATTAAGGGTAGCCAGAGTAGCAAACATGACACTTAATACAGTAAACACAGAAAACAATTAAAGCTCTTTTATGAACTAAACAGCATATTATTCAGAACAACACCCATAAAAATAAAATATTTAAATGAGATGGTTAGGGGCGGAGAGTGGTAAATTCAGTACTTTTTAATAACAAAAAATTGCCATAAAAATACGGCATTTACTTATCCTTAAATGTGTCAGTAAATTCTATTGTAATTCAGAATTTGTACAACACATATTTTGTTTTTTTTGTTTCTTTTTTACAACATTATAGTTACAATTGCATGGGCTACGTTGTCTTTTTACCACATTACTCTATCTGATAGTTTTTTAATGTAGCATTTTCATGTTCTCTTGACTACATTTTAATTTAGAACGTTTCAATCCAACCCCTGGCGCTCTCTGCCATAGACATATAAATGTATTATGTCTATGCTCGCTGCTGATCAGTTGGGCGTGGCGTTTGTGAGTGGGCGGAGTCATGGCGTACTTCCTTTGGCGGGAGCTGTGCGAAATTCAAAGCCGCGGCTCAAACCGTTCAGTCCGGATTAGTTTTTCTGGTCAGGATTTTCTGCTGATCAGTTGGGCGTGGCGTTTGTGAGTGGGCGGAGTCATGGCGTACTTCCTTTTTGGCGGGAGCTGTGCGAAATTCAAAGCCGCGGCTCAAACCGTTCAGTCCGGATTAGTTTTTCTGGTCAGGATTTGGCCGGAATAAATTCGCCTTTTTTGTACGGTGAGTGTTTGGATATGTTATATTATATATTTAAACCGTAGGAAGTGTCGTGTACTAAGAGAAATTAAGCTTTTGTCTGTTTATAACGTTACTGTGGTTAGCGTAGCATGTTAGCTTGCCCTGACAAAAAAAAAACATGTTTTGCTTAAGTTTAATATTAACAGAAACGGGTTTTCCTTATTTTGTGATTGTGTAACCGAGATGATACATTTGTGTTAGACTAAAATACCTCTATAGATTTCGGTTGCCACAGTGATTTTCCCTACGGATCAGCATGTTTGTATTCACTAACTTTAACGTACTTGTTGTTTAGGCCTGCAGAGATGTCGTGGGATTTTATCCTACCAGTTTGTTCGGACGATCTCGTGAAGTCTGGTGCTGTTAACCAGTATGTGGTTCAAGATGTGCTGTCTATTAAACAGCTAAACTCTCATATCAACAGTAAGTACTGAGATCGTTTTAACTGTAGGCATTTCAGTATTGCCCCTCTTATCTGTACTGGTGTAAGTCCCCTTTTCTGCCTGTTTTGAAGGTTTTAAAGCAGCATTGAGAAGTCAAGGGCCCCTGTGCATCCTGGAGCATTTTGACACAGCATACAGTGTTTTGCAGTAAGTGTGGACACATTCTTATAAGGCACAAGTTATTCAGTTTGTTTGTTAAAATCGACACCTTTTTTTTATGCAACAGTAAAATGTGTGCATATAATGTAAAACACAAACTGCATACAATTTCCAAAGCCTTCGAACAAGTTAATGAAAAAAGTATTAAGTTATATAAATAAATATAGGAGAATCGAACATTAATTTAACAGCTGTTAAACTTTGTTATTGTTAAAGAAATAATATTCTGTGCTTTATTAAAAATCAACCATCATGCCTTTTGTCTAAGCACAATTTTCTAATTGTTTCTAGACATTGTCGCACAGTTGATGTGGCAGTAAAAGAAGACACGCTGGAGTTGCTGATACAAGGTTAGTATCTTATAGTCATACTTGCTTAACACCTACCCCCGGTTTCAAAGACAAGGCCTTAAAGGGATAGTTCACCCAAAAATGAAAATTTGATGTTTATCTGCTTACCCCCAGGGCATCCAAGATGTAGATGACTTTCTTCAGTAGAACACATTTGATGATTTTTAAGTCCAACCGTTGGAGTCCATCAGTCTTATAATGGATGGCAATGGTAAGTCTATAAGTGTAAAAAAACATGCACAGACAAATCCAAATTAAACCCTGTTGCTCGTGACGACACATTGATGTCCTAACACACGAAACGATCAGTTTGTGCCAGAAACCGAACAGTATTTATATAATTTTTTACCTCTAATACACCACTATGTCCAACTGTCTGTGCGCACGACTTCCTGTGCGTGAGGCGTATACACTCTCTGGCATGGTTTACGTTAATGGGTGTGTTGTCGCGGGAGGAGCAAACGACAGGCACAGTTTATTAACAGAAAATAAACGAAGTGTCCAGAAACAAGGGAATCAAATGTCCAAAATAAACAGGGGATCTGGTGTCCTCGTCGTGCTGCGGGGTTCGTGAAGGGAAGGGCAGTGGTTAGGAAGGAAGGGTCTAGGTAAGGGGCGGAGTCCGGCAGCTGCACGCGCTCTCCGGTCCGGGGTGCGAGGGGCGGCAGCTTCGTCCTCCTCTATGCCCACGGTGCTTGAAGGGACTAGACGGCCCAGCATTCTTTGCCCGACGGCCGTGTAATGGGTGCTGTTCTCGTCTGGACTGCGGGTCCGGCACTCTGGTGGCACGGGAGTCCCTCTACGCACCCCTCCTGGACCCACGAGGACACAGCGTGCATGCACGGGGAAGAGACCGATCCCCCGAGGAGAGGTGCGCTCTGCATTTAAACAGGCTCCATTCGGTTCAGGTGTTCCCCTTCACGCTGCCAGCCCTGGCTATTTCAGCGCCCCTCCTCTCTCACGCACCCACTCATGTCGGGAGCCTGGCGAAGGGCGGCGATTAAGGGACGGGGTGATGCTGATAATTAGGGGGTAGCAGCCGACTCGTCACAGTGTGTTGATATCCAGCCGAAGAGCAATCAACCATAACTTCAGGCGAGCAGGCTCAGAAGTCGGTTTGAACAATCCAGATAAGCGCAAGTAAGTACTGTTTTGATTAGCCGTCGTAGCTACAATGACTGTGCAAACAATGAGTGACGTATACGCGCGAGAGATCACTTCTGGCGCTTGCGTAAACTCGGAAACTACGCCAGAGCGCGTACACCTCATGCACCGGAAGCCGTGTGCGTGCTCAAAGCAGTTGGACATAGTGGTGTATTAGAGGTAAAAAATTATATAAATACTGTTCGGTTTCTGGCACAAACTGATCGTTTCGTGTGTTAGGACATCAATGTGTCGTCACGAGCCGCAGGGTTTAATTTGGATTTGTCTGTGCATGTTTTTTTTTTTACACTCATAAACTTTGTTACCATTGCCATGCATTATAAGACTGATGGACTCCAACTTAAAAATCATCAAATGTGTTCTACTGAAGAAACAACGTCACCTACATCTTGAATGCCCTGGGGGTAAGCAGATAAACATCAAATTTTCATTTTTGGCTGAACTATCCCTTTAAGCCTAGTCCTAGACTAAAGTCTGAGCTGTTTCAACTGAAAGAAACTTGCACTGACTGATCTTAAAATATATCCGTGTCTTTGTTTTATCAGACCAGTAATGTTTTTTTCTAAGGCACGTTTAAAAAAAAATTACTTAAATGTCCTAATTGAACTATGGCCTAATCCTGGCTTATGCTAAACACTGTCTGTGAAACCGGGCCCTTGTGTCATATTGCTTCTCGTTATGCCCAATGAATCAAAGCTACATTTCCCACAATGTTTCACAATGCTCTCTGTTTTCAGTGGTCAGGGGCCTGTCTGTTTCCCTGCCGACCCTTCTCCTGTCAGGCTCTCTGTCAGCCGTGGACCGCAAACAGCAGCTCAACGCCGTGAAGATGAGTGTTTTTCTTCTTTGCAAACTCACAGAAACACTTGAGAGTGACTCGTACAGGGAGACTATAGTCACGGCACCCAGCAAGGTACTACTGAATGTTATCAAGTTATTATTCAAAAGTGTTTATACTATTGCCCTGTGATGAGAACAAGGCAAATATGAGCGGATTGGCTGGGATTTTGTGTTCTCTTGCTTTCTGACTGGTGGGTAATCTTGGCAGAGCAGTGGAGATTGGCTGCGCTGCTGTAAGGGCCCACCCATATTAATGCTGGCTGTCAATCATAATACAATTCTCCTTTAGAAATGGATATTTGTGGATGATTTAGCAGCTTACAGTGCATGTGTGTTTTGAGTATGTCCCGAGTGTGTATAAATGTGTCGGTCAGCAAAGAGTCACATGTCCTAATGGGCCCACCAGCTGTGAATGTTTTCTTTGGTAATCTGAGGGCAACAATTGTTGCTTCTAAGATTGTTGGTTTTGTGTATACAGTATATTAAACTCTGTGTGTTTGTCTCAGGGTCGTAAGAAGGATAAAGCTGCCGGAAAAGGTCTCCTGCAGTGGGACAGTGAGAGAGAGACCGTTCTTCAGTGTTTGACTCAACTGCTGCAGCTGGACATTCGCACACTGTGGAGTCTGTCTCTAGTGGAGGAGGAGTTTGTTAGGTAAGACACTGTTTTTCCTTTTAACCTGTCACTGTGTGTTTAATCTTTTTAACTGTAATTTAACATTATGATCACAAATGCAGTTTCTACTGGTCCAACATTTGTTGATTTATGCAGTTGTGTGACATGCTGTTGCTATAAACTCCTGGAAAACCCCACCATAAACCACATGAAGAGCAAGTCCACCAGAGATGCCATCATTCATGTGCTAGGAATCATGGTGAAGAAATACAATCACATGTTGGGTAGGTTTATACTGTGTGTACACATCACACACCCGTAAGTAGGTTTGCAGTGGTATAGATGTTGAGCTGAGTTGTCCTGAATATTTTCTGTTTCCTGTACAGGAGCATGTGTGAAGGTGATTCAGCTCTTGCAGCACTTTGAGCAGCTGGCATCAGTATGTGCTCAAGCTGTGGCTTCCTGGAGCTCGGAGTATGGGGTCAAGGTCATCGTCGGAGAGATCATGAGGTGACACTTATTAAATTGAACTTGTGATATTTTGTTGGTATGACTGCATGTATTATGTAATATCTATCTGATATATCTGTGGTTACAAATAAAGAGAAAAAAAGATAACTTGCAAGTCTATATTAGGCCTGTCGCGATAAATAAGTCTATTCGCGATTATTTGATCTGACCGCGGTTGTCTGAAAGATTATTGTGCCTTTTATACGAGACAAGGGGGAGTCATACACCAAAAGAAACAGAAGAGCACCAGTTTGCTTTTCATGCACTGTATAGCCTATACAGGGCTCCAGACTCATTCTTCCCACTGGTCGCTCTTTTGCAGCTAACTTTCTCAGCTGGACGCACGAGCACATGATTTGGTCGCAACATTTTTATTTATTTTTTGCTTTTGGGATTATTCAGTGCATGCTGATGAACTTTTGTCATAGTTTGGTTATTTGGAAACGAAAGTGGTTAACATTCAACCCGTTCGTAATCATCAATAGTATTTGTGATTTTAAATTGTGAATGGGAGTTTCTTTCTCTTTTGCTGTGTTAAGCCGCGGGCTTCTGATGATTTCACTTTCGAATTCGCGATCTTGTCACTATTTTGCTTACATAGCCTACATCTACACACCTTTCATTTTTTAAAGACTAAAACAAAAGATGGATTCATTGTTATTCTTAATTAAAAAGCACAACAACAAACCAGTAAGAATGAATAAGATGAGGCATGGTACACACCACATGCTGTATTATATACCGACTAATAAATTACAGAACGTTTAGCAAACACTGAGGAATCAATCAAATAAGAGAGCCTCCATAGCGTAATGTGAGGTAAACAGCAAAGATACGTTTTTAAAAAAAAACTAACGATGACAGTGCTTGCATTTTGTTTTCCCCCCACAAGAATACCAGCATGTTCACCTTCTCTGGTTTAAGAAGCGGTCTTTTACTTGACATTCGCTTGAAAACCATCCATCGTTTCCTCAATATGCGCGTCATTTTTGCTGACGCGGTGAGTATAATCTCTAAGAGCTGTTTTGTTATGCTTTCAGTTTCGTTTGCCATTTGATATTTCTCATATGCAACAGAAATTGCAGCGCTTATGAGTTGGCCAATGCGGTGGTCGTGCCAGTACACAAGTTTAGTCGCACAGGCAGAAAAAAATGGTCGCAGTCTGGAGCCCTGCTATATCATCTGAAGCCATTCCATATCTTAATGTGAGGGACAGAATTTAGGTTTCCAGAAACTCATCTTCCTTCTGCTGCAGCTGTCAGTCATTCTCCGCTCAGCATTCAAACAGCACGTCAAATTCAGTTATGACAGTCAGCATGGTAAATCTCTCTCTCCAAAATTATATATTCCCATTATAATACTTAAGTTTAAGGAAGGAAGGAATTATCACAAACAGAAAGATTATCAGAAGCCTTTCTTTTTCTCATGATTTCTTATATTCTTGTTCATGAATGTATTTTGTAAGAATACAAATAATTAACAGAATAAACATGTTTAAATTGTATAATGTTCCCCAAAGATTTTTTTCCAAGATATTGTTTTTGCTGCTAAATTATACAGTCAGCTAGTTTAATTTCATAGCTTATATATTTTTATTCAAATGTAGTTTTTCTCTGTAATGAGGAAGTGAGTATTTAGTGGATTGCATTTAACAAAGGGTTTAAAAGAGTGACCATTAGTTCCACAAACACAGTAATGATATTCTGTAGTGGTGTAGGAAAAAAAAGAAGCGCTGGTGTTGGATCGGTATTGGCCAATTCTTAGAATTTGGAATACTCTATGTAATCTTATACTGCAAAATAATAACTCGAAAAGATTAAAAGATAACATCATAATTATTTACTGAACCCTTAAATTAATCAATTATATAATGAAAGCCATAAAAACTAATTAATCGGCATAATCGCCAAAGCACTAAAACAGACACTTAATCGCAATAACGTGACTATTTTTAGACAATTAATCGTCAGCCAAATTTCATAATCGTGACAGCCCTAGTCTATATTAATAAATGGGTATTTCCGGTGTAGCACCACTCATCAAATGATATTATTTTACTTGTAAGTGTATCATTTGAAGTTTGTTACTTAAGGTTATTAAATATTATCTTTTGGTTTGCCTCTATGAAAATAAATCAAATTTTCCATGTATTTACTGCTATATGTTTTCTAAATTACATTTTGGGGTTGTTTACAGCAAAATAAATATTTAGATTTTAATTTAACATTTTATTACAATAATATAACATTTTGATTATACTGCTCACCCATCATTTTCATACGTATCAAATCTCTACGTGTGTGTTTCAGAGAGATTGGTCAGAAGTCAAGTGAGGAACTAGCCAGAGAAGGTTCAGGTGTGAAGGCTTTCTCCAGCTTTTTGTCAGAACTCGGTACTCTGGTACCTGAAACCATGATCCCCAACATTAGTGTTCTCCTGACACACCTGGAGGGAGAGGTACAGTCACACGTTCTCTATCGCATCGCTTCTGTCTTTGAAATCTTGCCCAGTGATGAGACCAAGGCGAATATGAGCCTACTGAATTAGAGTCTGAGCTCTCCTGCTTTCCTATTGGCTGGTAATCTTGGCTGGGCAGTGAAGATTTGCTGTCTTGCTGTAAGGGCCTGCCTACATTCAACAAGCCCCTTTCTTTGACATTTCTATCCTTTGAAGAAATGGGGAAGAAAAAGGATGGAGCTTACATTTTGTGTGTGTGTGTGTGTGTGTGTGTGTGTGTGTGAAGGGTCACAGGTTGTGTCTCAGTTCTCTGCAGTAATTCTTTGGGCATTGAGCTCTCTCTATCTGGTAATCTGAGGGCAATCATTTAAAACAAAGCTTTGAGTTTTATAGCTTAACTCTTCTTTGTGTGTGCTCTGTTAACATGCTGTTTGTGTTTGGACAGAGTCCGAGTCTACGGGTGGCAGTGTGTGAGGTTCTCGGTGAGGTTCTTGTCCGGGTTTTGTCTGGTGATCAGCTGGATGATTCTGCTCGTTCAAGCCGAGATCGTTTCCTGGACACATTGCAGGAGCACATCCATGATGCCCACTCGCATGTCCGAGCACGTGTGTTACAGGTGTATGCACGTGTTGTCAACAGCAAGGTGTGTGGATTGTTTTTCCCCTTTTCTCTTCAACAGAAAATTAAGGGTTTTATTCTTGGGTGCTCTAAGATATAATCCTCCGCCTCCTTTCCAGGCCTTGCCCCTGTGCAGGTACACAGAAGTTATGGAGCTGACCGTTGGGCGTCTGGGTGACAAGTCTGTCCATGTGTGTAAGAGTGCTATCCAGCTGCTGGCTGCCTTCATCGCTCATAACCCATACAGCTGCAAGGTACAAACATGCTCATAACATCTGGTAGATGCACTACCATTCAAAACATTAACCTTTATTGACCCCAAACTTTTGAACACTAGTGTATTTATTCGTTTACATATATTAAATATACTTGCTTTTGTTTTCTCCATGTCAAGTTGAGCAGTGTGGACCTGACAAATCCGCTGGAAAAAGAGATGGCCAAATTAAAAGATATGAGAGACTCTCAAAAAGAGCAAGTTCCTGGTATGTTTCTTTCCTAATTGAATAGCTCCTTTTAGTCTCTAGCTCCAGTCTGCCTGGAGTCACTGGTGCTGCAGAAATTGATTCCAGCTATAAGATTTTAGCTTTGGGTTTGTAGTTGCAGTCATAACAGCAGCTGATCTTTGGGATGCAATGAAGCCTGAGTTGGAGATGACTGTGAAAGCACAACTAGAGCCTGGCAGTGAGGAAGAGGAGAATGAAGAAGAGGAGGAGACCGGGGGAGAGGAGGAGAGAAGCGACCGAGACACTGCTTTACAAATTGCACAGCTACTCCGGGAAAGCAAATACAGGTATATGTGAATTAACACACAAATATTCTCATACCCTTACTTCTGTTCACAGACATGCAATGTGTTTAATTGTTTGTAGGAAGGCAGTTGGTCTGTGCATACGGGCTCACTCACTATACCCAGAGTCATTGTTCTACTCAGATCTGGCTGACCTAAATGCAGAAACCCTCATCAAAACTCTTGCAACACTTTTCAAGGGTATGTTGCTTTGAATAGTCTTCTAAACTTCCACATTAAAGAGTCTTGCTCAGGCGCACTGTGGCACTAGTTCTTGGTCTCACCTGCCTAGATTAGATGACCGGTTTTCTAGTCCAAATAAAAACACGAGTTGTGTTTGTGTATCTCTCTTCTCTCAGGCCCAGAGCAGGAGACACCTCAGGCTGTGTCGAGCGACGCTCCACCCACCCCACAGAAAGAGGGTGGAGGGAATGATGGTAGAGAGAGTGAACTAAAGAAGCAGGAGATGTTGGTTCAATATTTGAAAGACACAGAGAGCTTCGCTCTTCAAGTGGAAAGAGCTATCGCTGTCATTAACAACATGCTGTACTGGAAAACCACTACAAGTAATTTCTATGAATTTAAATGACTGGCTGGATTATATTAAAGTTGGCATGAAATGAAAATTCTCCCTATTTTCTAAATGTGTTCATTTCATCCATTTACCTTTTAATCCAATCATCTGGTGAAAATACTTATGACACACGCCAGACTTCCCCAATCATTTAGTCCACTTAAACACCTCTCTTGCAATTGACTGCAAAGTCTCATTCAACTCTGCCTCAATCCGGTTAACGACCAGTGTTTAAAACCAAGTCTCTGCCATGCATTTTCTCCATTTTTGATCATTTGTTTTACTTTAATATAAACCACAATACAAAACAAAAGACTATGACTTTTAAATACAAAATACAAGGTTGGCAATGTGTAGTTTCCTCTGATCTCCCTCTCTCAGTTGTGCAGGAGGCAGTGCAGTTCTGTGTCACAGCGTTTGAGTTTAGTGTGGCCAACTCTGTGTGTGGGGTCAGAAAGATGCTGCCTCTTGTCTGGTCCACTGATGTCACAATCAAAGATGCCGTCATTCAGGCCTACAGACGCCTGTACCTCAACCCCCACGGTGACAACACCAGGTCTGCTAACATTTTGATTCAATCCTTAAGGCTAAAGGAACACAATTTGATATACTGTAGCTCAACTAGCATTTTGTGTTTGTCCATCAGGGCGAAGGCTCAGACTCTAGTGGATAATCTGTCGGATCTGACGATCGATGCTTCATTGGGGACCGTCCAGTGTCTGGAGGAGATTGTGAGTGTCTTTTGCCCTGCGTGTAAGCAGTCATGCCCATAATTTATTATTCTTTAACATTGTTTTTGTCTTGGTGCAGGTCCAGGAGTTTTTCAGCAGTGAGAGTGCCCTGCAGACTTCAGTGGTGCAGGTTTTGTGGGAGAGGTTCTCTGGTAGACGAGAGACTAAAGCACTTCACAGAAGAGCTGCAGTGCTATTGCTGGGCATGGCGGCACGGTGAGACACTCAACTCTTAATGCTTCTTAATGATTCTGTTGAACTGATTTAATGTCACAGCATAATAATAATTTTGCCCAATGATGAGACCAAGGCGAATGCGAGCTCGTTGGGTAAGAGTCTGAGCTCTTCTGTGCTCCTATTGGCTGGTAATCTTGGCTGGGCAGGGGAGATTTGCTGCTTTGCTGTAAGGGCCTGCCTACATTAAGCAAGTTCTTCCTATCAAGCTTTCCCTCAGAGAAATGCAGGAGAAATTTGGGAAGAATGAACAGTGTATGTGTGTGTGTGTATAGACGTGGACACGTCGAAACTCAGTTCTCTGTAATGTCCAATGAGCTGTGAGCTAGTTCTTCTGTAGTCTGAGGGCATTCTTGTCTTTATCATGCTGTTTAAGGCATGGTGTGCATTATTTCAATCTGTTACTTCATTTTGTGTGTGTTTAGTGCTGAGAGGGAGGTGGTTCTCAGTAATTTGGACACACTCTGCTCTGTCGCTCTGGGTGAGAAGGTTGCAGAAGATTATCTGCTGGCTCGGGACACACTCATCACCATTGCTAACATTACAGACCATGTGAGGGTATGTATTCACATTTTATGTATAAACTGCCAATTAAAGGTTTGGGGTCATTACGATTTTTTGTTATTTCTGAAAAGTCTCTTATGCTCACCAAGTCTGCATTTGTTTGATCAAAATGCAGCAAAAACAGTAATATTGTGAAATACTACTCCTTATTTAAAAAAAAAAAAATTCCTGTGATTTGAAAGCTGAATTTTGGCCAGCTATTAATTGCAGTCATCAGTGTCATATGGTCCTTCAGAAATCATTCATTCATTCATTCATTCAATCAATCAATCAATATGCTGGTTTGTATGCTCCAGCTATTAATTGCAGTCATCAGTGTCATATGGTCCTTCAGAAATCATTCATTCATTCATTCAATCAATCAATCAATATGCTGGTTTGTATGCTTTTGTGTGTCACAGCAATCCAAGGGTGTTCCCTTTAGGCTTCCTATGGACCACCATCTCTTCAGCAGTTTGTCCCAAGCCATTGCTGATGGTTTGTACTTTTTTAATTTATTTTATTTTTTTTTTTTTACCTATTTTTGCCATTGTTTACATCTCTTATTAGCTTTTGTGTTGAGTAATCTGATCACAAGTTTTTAATAAAATGCTGTACCAAAAATTGTAAAGGCTTTGCCACACTTTCCCCCCCCCCCAACACATACTTTTGTGAATTTTTTTTATTTTATTTTTTTTTTTTTGATTTTCTTTCTTTCCATGTGAGTAGATAGTCCTTCGTTGTTTAGGATCTGTTGGCTTTAATGCTACAAATGCAAATTGACTACATGTCCCTTAATACTTTTACATCTTCAAGATTCATGGAACTCCTTAATACTTCAATTGTGTTTTTTAAAATTTTTATTTTTTTATTATCACCCTGTCTGTGGATGCCAGGTGTAAACGTGGTCTCTCTTGTTCTGCTTTCCTTATCTGGTTTCTTTCATACGTTTCTGCTGTTGGGTAACGACTGTACCTTCATTTGAACAGGAGTAGTCCAGTCCGATCCCCACTGGCAGACCTTCATGGAACAGGCTGTCCGTCTCATCTACTTTTTGGCAGAGTCCCCTGACCAGCTGTGTTCCCGCCTCCTCCAGCGGTCTGCTCATCTCCTATTGGAACAAATCACAGAGGGTGGAGAGCCCAACCAATCACAACTGCAGGAAGGCGGGTCTCAGGGCTCTGAGGAGCAAGGTAATGTCAGCACAAGAGATGGAACTTTTTGCGTACTGCGTAATTGACATGAACTACTAAGAAAATGACTTGGAAAATATTCAAATAGAAAACATATATAGTGAAACATTACAATTTAAATCTTCACTATTCAAATTAATGCAGCTTGGTGAGCATAAGAGACTGAAGTTGTGTACACGTTTATGATCGCAAAGGTAAACTTCCTGTTCTTGTTCTAGTGAATTGCGTGAGCTTGGCCCAGGTGCTTTCACTGTGTGGAGCTGTGGCCTTCTGGCAGGTGTCTCACCTTGAGAGAAGTGTAAGTGCTGAGCTGCGGAGGAGAAGAGGAGAAAAGGAAGAGGAGGAGGAGAAGGAGAAGGCACCTGCCAACAAAAAGGTTAGTGAAGAGTTAGAAGACAGTCCACTGATCGGTTGTTACCTGTTTTCAATCACATTAAAGTGCTGCCCAATGCACACTGCTGACTTATTTATGTGTCATTTGCTAGGAGGCTAATGACAGTTGTGTGGAGGAGGAGCTCGGGCTAGTGGGCGCCTCAGCTGAGGACACTGAGGCGGAGATTATCCGCAAGATCTGTGAGACTGAGTTATTATCTGGTGAGCCCATCTAAAGAAACTGTTGGAATAAAGAGGACAAAGTCTTCATAAATATGCATCGTAATTTTATGTTTATTAACATGTTCTTACCTGATTCACAAAGCACTAAAGCACTGATCCCTGTTGCACTGTGGTCTATCTTTGCAGAAGGGAACATGTTGAGTGCCTTTTTGCCTTTGCTGGTGAAAGTTTGCAGCTCTCCTGGGAAATATTCCCACCCTCAGCTCACCACTGCTGCCTGCCTGGCTCTGTCTCAGTACATGATGATCAGGTATTTCTTCTATTGTTTTATATTACACTACTCTTCAAAAGTTTGGAGTCTGTAAGATGTTTCGGTTTATAGAAATGGTTTTTAAAGAAGCCTCTTACACTATCTCACAGAAGTGAGTACACCCCTCACATTTTATTATATCTTTTCATGTGACAACACTGAAGAAATGACACTTTCCTTCAATGTGAAGTAGTGAGTGTACAGCTTGTATAACAGTGTAAATTTGCTGTCCCCTCAAAATAACTCAACACACAGCCATTAATGTCTAAACCGCTGGCCACAAAAGTGAGTACACCCCTAAATGAAAATTTCCAAATTGGGCCTATAGTGTCAATATTTTGTGTGGCCACCATTATTTTCCAGCACTGCCTTAACCCTCTTGGGCATGGAGTTCACCAGAGCTTCACAGGTTGCCTCTGGAGTCTTCTTCCACTCCTCCATGACGCATCACGGAGCTGGTGGATGTTAGAGACCTTGTGCTCCTCCACCTTCCGTTTGAGGGTGTCCCACAGATGCTCAATAGGGTTTAGGTCTGGAGACACGCTTGGCCAATCCATCACCTTTACCCTCAGCTCATACGTCTATTTCCCAAACACAAACTCTGGATATGATGCTGAGCACGTGCACTCAACTTCTTTGGGCGACCATGGCGAGGCCTGTTCTGAGTGAAACCTGTCCTGTTAAACCGCTGTATGGTCTTGGCCACCATGCTGCAGCTCAGTTTCAGGGTCTTGGCAATCTTCTTATAGCCTACGCCATCTTTATGTAGAGCAACAATTCTTTTTTTCAGATCCTCAGAGTTCTTTGCCATGAGGTGCCATGTTGAACTTCCAGTGACCAGTATGAGAGAGCGAGTTAAACCAAATTTAACATACCTGCTCCACATTCACACCTGAGACCTTGTAACACTGATGAGTCACATGACACCGGGGAGAGAAAATGGCTAATTGGGCCCAATTTGGAAATTTTCATTTAGGGGTGTACTAGCTTTTGTGGCCAGTGGTTTAGACCTTAATGACTATGTGTTGAGGTATTTTGAGGGGACAGCAAATTTACACTGTTATACAAGCTGTACACTCACTACTTTACATTGTAGCAAAGTGTCATTTCTTCAGTGTTACATGAAAAGATATAATAAAATATTGACAAAAATGTGAAGGGTGTTCTCACTTCTGTGAGATACTGTATGCTGACCAAGGCTGTGCTTATTTCAAAGTGAAAGGTTGTTTACAATCTAATTGTAATCTAAACTTTTCTATTTGAATATATTTTAAAATGTAGTTTTTTTTTTTTCCCTGTGATGCAAAGCTGAATTTTCAGCAACCATTACTCCAGTCTTCAGTGACATGATGATCCTTTAGTAAATATTTTGATGATTATCCCCAAACTTTTGAATGGAAGGTTAAATACATTATAATATTCATATCATATTTGTTTCTTTAACCATGCAATATTAATATTCTGTCTCTTTCTCAGTCCTGCTGTTTGTAAAGACAATATCCGGCTGCTGTTCACTGTGCTGGAAAAATCTCCACTTCCTGTTGTCAGAGCCAACACAATTGTTGCTCTTGGTGACCTAACCGTCCGCTTTCCCAACATCCTGGAACCCTGGACGCCCAATCTTTACGCCAGGTAGCTCCCAATCACAAGGTCAAACAACCACTGGTCTAGGGATATTTAGCTAAATCAGTTGTCCTTGTTGACTATATTTCCTGCTAAATCTATTACAGTGCAATCACTTGAAAGTAAATCTCCATGACCTGCGTGCTTTCACATGGAGCAGCATTAACTACACAGAGCCATTGTTCACTGACGAGCTGCGCAAAAAATTGCGCGAATATGAACGTGGTCAGCCCTAGTACATGACCTCAATTATTTTTGGTAACGCAATCATTTGCACGTGCTTTTGAGTCTTGAGAACTCACTCGCGCGCTCATTTTCTGTGCACCCACAGATCGCGATAAGGAGAGTGACAACTTTCAATAGTTATTAAGGGAGTTTGCAAATGTGATATTGATTTAATACAACAGTTCAATAAACAAGTACTGCCTGGTTTTGCTCTTATTTTTTCAACGAAAATAGTTCCAAATATAGTAACAGCTCAGCCGCTGACATCTCTAAAAGCAAACACAGCAGCGTTTAATTCATTCAATGAAAGTGCGTCAGTCATCTAGTGAGTCAGTCATTCATGATCACCCATTCATAAAGACTCCGACTGTTCCTGAATGAATCAGCCGTTCGAACGAATCAATTGAATGAATGATTCAGTGATAAAATGAGTGACTTGCCGCCACCTGCTGGCGGATTTAGTTTCATTTTTAGAGTATAATTTCAGTTATTTAAATCATTTAATATTTCTGTATTCAATGTTATATTTAAAACATTAATCTCCACATGATTGTATGAATTTAATTGCACTCATGCCACCTCTGAGCCTCATTAAATGTCTGAAAATGTACCTACAAGCCACTTTTGTGTTCTTCTGTGCCAGCTCTGTAGTACAAATAAATATTTTTATTTATTAATTTTTCTATTTGTCTTATTCTACTTGTTGTTTTAAAAAGCTTATACATTTTTGAATTTGACTTGGATTAAAATGATGCCATTACAAAGGTAAAAAGAAAGTACCCCTGTAAGTCACTTTAAGGAGTCAAATGTCACCTCATATATTAGGAAGGATAATTTTTGATCAGAATTTGATTATTGATCAGAAGGGGCTCCTAAATTTTTTAAATTAGGAGGACAAGAGCTCCTAAAAAGAAAAGCAAGCATAGAGCCATGTCTAACAGTATATTAGATCCGTGCATTAGGTCTTAAAGAGACAGCAGCCTAAATAAACCTCTTGCTGCCTTTCATTATACAGTGAAGACTAACCAGTGTTATTTTACAGTTGAATAGATTATAGTTAGACCTAACTGAAAAAATTAAAGTACTGTTAATTTAATTTGTATCTTGTTTTTGTTTGTGCTATTGATTGTCATTAATTTATTTGTTCTTTTATTATTTACTTGTCTTTTTTTAGTTAAATTCTGAGTGCACATGATTCTTGGGTGGGGAGGGGAGGGGGCGTGGTCCATGGGAAATAGTCCTGGCACCACAGCTAGAAAAAATCCTAGGAAACACTGCATACATTTAATAAAATTAGAAAAAGGACATTACAAAGGTAAAAAGAAAATACCCCTGCAAGTCACTTTAAGGAGTCAAATGTCACCTCATATTAGGAAGGCTAATTTTTTATCAGAATTTATTATTGATCAGAAGGTGTTCCTAAATTTTTTTTTTAATTAGGAGTACAAGCATTCCTAATAACAAGAAAAAACTGTTCTTAAACTGGGTGTGTGACGGGTATGGCTGTAGAAAAATTCAGTCAAAAAATATATATTTTTTTGCTTTAACCCCTGCTCCTAAGATGAGATGCCCTGATTATAACTCTGCATAATGTTTTTTCAGGACAACGCCATTTACAACCTGCTGCCAGACATCATCAGCCGATTATCTGATCCTGAACGTGGAATGAAGGAGGAGGACTTCAACACCATTATGAAGTGAGAGATGATTTATGCTGCGGTTGCAGTTTAACTTTATTCTGCATGACAAGCCATAAATCACTTCGATTTAACTTTCTCTTTCAGACAACTCTTCTCCTACATCACTAAAGAGAGACAGACCGAGAGTTTAGTGGAGAAGCTCTGCCAGCGATTCAGAACCGCAAAGTGGGTATCGGACACAATTTGTTTTTCATTGGGCTACACAGTCTCCCAATGGAAACAGTGCTCTAAAAACGTCTTTCCCGTTCATCACCAAAACTAAAAGGTTTATCCTGGTTTAGGAAGATTTTTCTACTTCAAGCAAGTCCAAAGATGCAATTCTCCAAAATCAAATTTTAAAAAAGGGCAATGAGAGCTTTTTGTGGTGCACGGGAAAACATTACTAGAGCAACATTTATGAGACTGGGCTCCTTTATGACAGATGAGCAGGTCTCCGTCTCTCATGTGACATCTTCTCCCCTGTTCTCTCTGCAGGACTGAGCGTCAGTGGGCAGATCTGGCCGTCTCTCTGTCCTTGTTGTCGGTGTGCGAGCGAGGTTTCAAAAAGCTGCAGGAGTGCTGGGACTGTTACAGTGATAAACTCGCTGAGCCTGGAGTCTATCAGCCCCTCCTGTCCATTGCAGCCAAACTCCGTCGACGAGCCAAACCACAGTTTAAGGTACTACATTTCTGTATGTGTGGTTAGAAAACAGCGTATTGCATACAAGTGTGCGCACACAGCACTGATCAAGACTTAGTGACTGTTTATGCTAGTGTGTTGAAAGTAGCTGTGTTTGTTTAGGCGCAGGTTGAAGACTACGAGAAGCGCTTGACGGCTGTTCACACTAAAGGGCTGGAGAATGTGGAGAACGAGGAGAGAGAACAGCAGACTGGAGACGCACAAAGTCAAAACCTAAAAACGCCACAGCCACAGAAGAGCGTGCGCAAAAGCACACGAGGTGAAGAGATCGAGCAGATCAGACCTCAGAAAGAATTCTATTATATAAATTCATCTTGTGTATCTCTGTATCCTTCAGGACGTAGTAAACCGAAGTTACATGACAGCGACCTTGTAACCCCAAGAAAATCTCGCTCTCGTCCCAAACCTGCCATCACCTTTACCAGTGATGAAGAAGAGGAAGAAGGTCAGTCACTTTCACATGATTATCAATTGTAGTTCTCATTTATGCCATGTTAATTGTGCAGTAAAGTGCTTTAACATGCTTCATTTTGATTTTTTTCAGATGCTGTCATGGCTGAGAGTGAGACGCCTAAAGTGACGACACCCATTGCCCGCACGCGACGCACTCGTCTCAGACACTGAGCACTCTTTTTTTTCCAGTATATCCTTTTTTTTTTACTTTTTTTTTTTTAATACCTCTAATAGTAATTTGGTTTTAGAAAGATGATGTCTGTGACTGTCATTTATAAATGTTTTAGTTGCCATCAATATGGTATGTGTTTTTATTTTTTAATTAAACGTTTTTAAACCAGGAAAGTAATGGCTGTTTTTGTTGTTGCATATAAATCTGTCTTGTACTGGAATGTATCATTCCCCAAAAAAAAAATTTTTTATTTTTTTTTTTTACTAAATTGCATTTAAAATGCCAGTTTTCACACATTTTGGATTTGAGCATGAAGTTTTACATGCTTCTCAACTAGAGTAAAACCAATGAATGAGCATGTAATGTCGAAATTGAAGGAAAGCCACTTTTACGTCCAGTGCATCTGTTTTAGCTGAAAGTGTTTAGACGCGGGACTTTAGTTTTGTAGGCGGTCATTCCTGCTACGCTGAAGAGATTTAGTGTCTGTCTTCGCGAAGCTGGACTGTGTGTGGCTGGGCAGCTTATATCGCTTCTGTATTCTGCAGTGCTTGCGGTTTTCTTTCATCGAATGCCGTTTCATTTTTAGAAGTTTTTTTGGTAACGAACTGGAAAACAGCGATTAAAGGGCCTGACTCCGAAATGAGATCCTGATCCGTGTGAAAGTTTCAGCTGCGTGTCGTTAATGTAGCGCGAGACAAACGAGCTCAGTCGCTTTAGTTTAGAACGTCGCGCCCGCAGTTAAAGTCTTACTATGAATTTATATGTGCTTCGAAAAAGCTTTTTCAACCACTGTCTGAAAATCTCCAAGAAAAATGAAGGAGGGCAGTGGCTGCAAATGTGCAGATCCAAAACATCTGCACCAAAAAACTTCTGCGATTATGAGCGCATGAGACGGACTTACAACATACGAGTTCCTCAGCGGTTTAATTTCGCCAAGGACGTGCTGGAGCAGTGGGAGACCAAAGACAAGGTCGTATGCTCTGCTTCTGATGTTGTTCTAATATGTTTGTCCCTTGTTCCATTTTCCAGTATCATAAGAAAGCATTAAACAGCAGCCCTGAACAATGCTTATCAGAGGACAGAAAAAAACATGTGTTTGAGTTATTGCACAATAAACTAATTGAAATCGTAGCCTACATAGTTTGTACAATTACATTTATTTAAATTGAACATTGAAAGATAATATAGATCATGTTCTATTCTGTAATGTTAATAGAAATCATACACTGTGTCAGAACAAAAAGGTTGCATTTTATGGATGCAACAGCCTGTCACTGGCAGTCCCTTATGATAATGAACCATGGTTTTACTAAAGTGACCATAGTTCAACTGTAGCATATGTAGATTTGAATCCTGTGTAAACAAAAATATAACCTAATAAATTACAATTAAGGCGTATTGAATGTTAAAATGTGTTTTAAACAAAGTTAAGTGGTTATTACCCATTTTACTCTTGGTAATTTAATACATTTCATCATTTAAGAGTTTAGTTCAGAAGTATCGATATAGACGATACTGCCTTGGAAAAATATCGGTATCATATCGAAAACAAAATAAGTGGTATCGCCCATCCCTACCAATAAGAAAACTTTGAGGCTGTTCTCTTCTCTACCAATATTTTGGGGCGGGCCTTAGAAGAGAGTAGTGGAAGACGAGGGGAGTGTTAGGAAACACCTTTGTCATTATATATTCATTCATGCAGTACTTTTTGAATTTGCATGCGTCATGTATGCAAAAAATATGATAATAAAATAAAATGGTAATAGTAATAATATTGGAAGTAAGGAGCTAAATAAAGTACTTTTGACATGGGTATTACCATACAATTTCTGTAAATAAAAGTGAAACCAACTAATACCACAAAACATGACCGGTCCATTACTAGTAATTATTATCTGCCTGTTGCCCTTCTTGAAGCATAATGCCAATAAGGAACTGGCTTTTATTAGTTCACTAGAAAAAAATATATAATTCATCTTCATTTACCAAACCATATGTCGTTCCAAACCTGTATGTATTTTATTTTTAAATAAAAGAGATATTAGATGGGAATAATAACAGGTATGCCATTTTGCTTGGTGACTCAGAAATATACTAATCTACTGATCTGTGTTTATATAATGTTTGTGGAGACTGGTATTATCCCAGTCTTCTTTGTTCATTTTAATACCATCCGGTTATTTCACAATGCCAACACTTGTGAAATTGTTCAGTGTATTGTTGTATATTACAGAACGGACAGAGGTCGTCTCTTCCAGCTCTGTGGTGGGTGAATGACGGCGGGGAGGAGGTCCGATGGAGTTGGGCTTCCACTCCAGAAGACTTGCAAATGTTCTGCATCAGGAGTGCAGTTTGGAGAGCGGGGATCGTGTGTTCCTCATCTTACCCAGAGTCCCTGAGTGGTGGCTGGTTAATGTGGCATGTCTCCGAACAGGTACAAGTCCCACAGTCCTGCTCAAATATGGTTTCAGGAATTTAGGATTCATTCACCCATAGTTCTGTTTCCCTTTTTGGTGATTCATTCTTAGAGTTAAACTTTAATCTACTTTTACTGATTCACACTTCTGTTGAAACAATAATACCAGCTTCAAGTTGACGTGTGTAATTTTAACAGATATGCTGAAAGTTATTTTCATGTTATGACTGATAACCCATAGTTGGCAGATATTTAAATTCCGTACTATTTGGTCAAAATCAATAAAAACACACTCACAGTGGTTCCTCTTTAAATGCCCCGTTTCCTTGCACAGGTACGGTTCTGATCCCTGGCACGTCTCAGCTCACTGCTCGAGATATCTGCCACCGGCTGCAGATGTCTGGGGCCAAGTGTGTGATCACAGATGAAACTTTGGCTCCACTGTTGGACACTGTAGCCTCAGACTGCCCTTCCATCTCCACCAAGCTTCTGCTGTCCCACAGGGCCATGCACGGCTGGGGCAACCTGACTGAACTCATGGGGTGTGTGTGTACAGGCATTCCTTAAAAGTATATACAAAATTACAAATTGGGGATTTATTTAAGATCAGATGTTGCGTTTGTGCTGTAGAAAAGTATCAGATGATCATGTTTGCATGGACACCAGGAGTGAGGAGGCCATGACTATCTTCTTCACCAGTGGCACAACCGGCTCTCCAAAAATGACCCAACACAGCCACTGTAGTTACGGTCTGGGGCTCACGGTGAACGGCAGGTTTGTAACATTCTAAAAGTTAAATGATGTGAAAATTGATACGTGTTAAGTAGGTATAGATGCATTAAAAGTTGTGTATATATGTAAAAATGTACCCAGTGGACAGTTTGAGATCAGTAAGATTATTATTTTTTATTTATTTATACTTTTATTCAGCTAGGCCACAGTAAATTGATAAAGTATGGGTAAAGACATTTTATAATGTCAAAATATTCCTATTTCAAATAAATGCTGTTCTTTTGACATTTCTATTCATCAAATCATCCTAAAAAAGGTATTTTGGTTTCCACCAAAAAATATTAAGCAGCCCAACTTTTTTCAATATTGATAATAGTAAATGTTTCTTGAGCATCAAATTAGCATATTAGAATGATTTCTGAAGGATCATGAGACACTGAAGACACTGAAAATTCAGTGTTGCATCACAGGAATAAATTACATTTGAAAATAAATTAAAATAGAAAATTTAAAACAACTGCTAATAATATTTCACAATATTGCGGTCTTTCCTGTATTTGAATCAAATAAATGTAATGTTTATTTGTGTGTGTGTGTGAATTCTTAAGGTACTGGCTGGATCTGACCGAGCAGGATGTGTTTTGGAACACGTCGGACACAGGTTGGGCCAAGTCTGCATGGAGCAGTGTGTTTGCACCATGGATCCAGGGAGCGTGTATGTTTGTTCACCACATGCCACGTTTTGATACAAGTACAGTCCTCAAGGTACAGGAACATCAATGGTCCATTCTTGACTGGAATGTTCTTCTTGATTCTTTAAAAAATGTCCCTAACAAAGCTGTATGAAAGTGTTTTATGGAAAAGCCAAAAATTATAACACATAATCTAACTTTATATGGTTTGTTGATTTTTGCTGTTTGTTGAACAGTACACATTCTGGTAACACATGTTTTTCTCCTGACAGACTCTGAGCAGCTATCCCATCACCACCTTCTGCACGGCACCAACAGCCTATCGAATGCTCGTACAGGACGACATATCCAGGTACTGACTGTAACAGGTGCACTGTGATGTGTTTGTATTTAAATGAATTCTCTTTTAGCTCTGTCTTTACAAGGCTTCACTTATGATTATTGGTTTTTATATATACTGTCAGCAGAAGTTTGTTTTTAATGGCAGGTAAGTTGCAAGTTTTTAACTGAATTGGTTAGTAAATGACTGAGAATCTTGACCTGAATGTTGTAATGATCACAGCAGAATGAGACTGATTCATCTGGTCCAGGTCTAGTCCTCATCTTTGTCTGTGGTTTTTGACAGGTTTACGTTCAGGGCTCTTGAGCACTGTCTGTGTGCAGGAGAGCCCATTAACCCAGAGGTGATGTGGAAATGGAAAGAACTCACTGGACTGGACATCTATGAGGGATACGGACAGACTGAGACTGTAAATAAACATTTAAAGGAATAATTCACACATTTGAAAATTTTCTTAAGTTAAGAGTTTTTCTTAATTAGAAAAGTGTGGAGAAATTTAGCCTTGCATCTCTTGCTCACCAATGGATCCTCTGCAGTGAATGGGTGCCGTCAGAATGAGAGTCCAAACAGCTGATAAAAACATCACAGTAATCCCCACAACAAGGGAACACACAGCTTTTCACTTCCCAAGGTGGCCTGGAGTCGTGGTGGGGATTATTGTGATGTTTTTATCAGCTGTTTGGACTCTCATTCTGACGGCACCCATTCACTGCAGAGGATCCACTGGTGAGCAAGTGATGTACTGCTACATTTCTCCAAAGAAACAAACTCATCTACATCTTGTATGGCCTGAGGGTGAGTACATTTTCAGCAAATGTTCAAGTTTGGGTTAACTATTCCTTTAAACAGCTGAAACTCTTTTCTTGAATCAGGTTTTATTGGATCATTATAGACATGAGTGAAAAGGGGTCCTAAATTAGCATCTGTTTTCATCTATGATATGGTCACAGATTCATTATAGAAGCACAGAGAATAAATATAAGCATAGTCTTGTGTGCTGTCAAGCAAAGATAGGTCATATCTCTGTTTTTCCACCTAGGTTTTAATAGCAGGCACATTCAAAGGCATGAAGATCAAACCAGGATCTTTTGGAAAGGCATCACCAGGATATGATGTTCAGGTGCAGTAACAGTCTGTCCAGGGTTTAAACTGGGTATAATAATAGTTGATTGTTGTCCTTACTGGCTTCATATTAATAACTATATAGATATGATAATTACATAAAAAGAAAGTTTTACAAATTACAAAAATGTACAGAAAAGCAGTTGAGGTAGTACATTGTTTTGTTTCATCTGATGGATTGGCTTGTTTTCCTGTGAGGTGAACTGTGGACTATTTTGGTGTAAGGTGGTGGATGAAGATGGTTCTGTTGTGCCACAAGGCCAAGAGGGAGACCTCGGCATCAGAGTCAAACCAGACAGGCCCTTCTCTTTTTACTGAGTATACAGTACGTTTTCCTTTCACATATTATTAGAGTCTGTACGAACAGAAACGTTCTTGAGCTCGAGTTGCACTAGTTAAATGTATTGATCTAAATTCATCCTATAGGGGGAGCCAGAGCGCACTGCAGAATGTTTCCGAGGCGATTTCTACCTGACGGGTGACAGGGGAATGATGGACGACGAAGGATACCTGTGGTTCATCGGCAGAGCTGACGATGTCATCCTGTCCGCAGGGTACGGAATTCTGCTTCCCATAACCATGATGTCAAATGTTTAAATCTCATGTTGTGTGTTTTAGGTACCGCATTGGTCCATTTGAGGTGGAAAACGCTTTGATAGAGCATCCAGCCATAGCAGAATCTGCTGTGGTCAGCAGCCCTGATCCAGTTCGAGGAGAGGTAGCGCAATGCATTCTTGGATTGCCATCTCCATGAAGGATACATGCAGGGTGACCTCAGAATTAGGCAAAAATTACATAACTTAGAAGACCAGAATTATCAGTAGAGTGCTTATGATGCATTTAAATGGTGTCTAAGTATGCAGCGCAAAAGATTTTGTATGTAGTTGATATAAAATTGTAACTAAGATTATCATATGTAATACAAAACTGTTTATTCCAATTTTTTTAAATTGTGCTGCTCCATGTTTCAGGTGGTGAAGGCTTTTGTTGTGCTGACAGCAGATTATAAATCAAGAGACCATAAGGAACTGATCCAGGAACTGCAAACACATGTGAAGACTGTGACGGCTCCTTATAAATATCCACGCAAGGTGACTCACGATTAAAATTCAGTACTTCCACATTTAATCCTTAACTGGAGATCTTTTCAATTTAGTCCATTTTAAAGGAATATTTTGTTCCAGCTTTTAAATGTTTAACTCATATTTTTTTTTGTCAGATTGAGTTTGTGGATCATCTTCCCAAGACAGTAAGCGGGAAAATCAGGCGAGTGGAGTTAAAAAAGAAGGAATGGGGACAGCAAACAAGCAAATAAATCTGGAAATGAGAACTAATTTCTGGACAAATCACATTCCACCTTTTTATATACAATGTTCCTAGATGTCTTCCCACTTTAATGCACCACGTTTAAGGATCTACCCACCCGTAGTCCTTCAGCTCACCTGCAGGTGGAGGCATTTCATAACAATCAGAACTCGTTTCTAATTTCATGCATCAAACATTTTATATGATTCTACCTCATGTTTAAGTGGAGTAACTCAATTTATAAGCCTTGCAGTTCAAATGTGTTTTATTCTTTTAATATTAAAGGGGTCATATGATGCTTTTTTTTAAAGATCATTATTTGGTGTAACAGAATATGTTGACATGCTTTAATGTTCAAAAAAACACATCATTTTTCAAATACTGTACATTATTGTAGATCCTCTATGCCTCGCCTCTCTCATGCACGATGCACAAAACTCCGCATTTGAACATTCAATAGCAAATGCTTAAACTAATAACAAAACAGTAGCTGATTCAGAAGCGCCAGATTGTCATAGCAAAGGCAGAATTACCTCCTCTCCTAGGTTTACGAAACGGTCGTCCATAAAATGCATTGCTGTTCTGTTGTAAGTAATCTTAAAGATTCCTAAATGCATCTACTTCCGGAAGGCCAAATAAAGTGCTTTTGCTTTCGCCTAGAAACACACAGCGTCTCCCTGACATGCTGCTTCAACACTAACTGCGGTTACTGAAACCACACCTTCTTTCTTTGCGTGCACATTTGGGCCGCATTATGCAAATCTTCCCACATAGTGAGGTAGATATGTGGGGGCGTGTTAGAACGAGACGTTTTAGGGGGGCGTGGCAGAGTCTTTGATAAAGAATATCTCTTTGGTTTTGAGACTTTAGTCTTTGCAACTTCAGGGATCTTATCTATGCACAATCAGCTTGTAACACTCCAAAGAGAAAGGAAAACTTGAAATCGCATCATATGACCCCTTTAAATTGTAGATCATATGCTGCATATGCAAAACCTAAATGTGAATTAATTTGTATTTATATAATTTAAAAACCTCTTTTTTGAGTAAGTAATAAAAGCATTTTTGGGTGACTTAGATAAAACTTGTTTATAATCTCTTCTAAATGGAGTGATCCTTTTTTCCTCAAGAGCATGATGTCAGGTGATTGATGACAGATGGCAGACACAAATCTGATCTGTGCTGAATGAGAGGATTGTGAGGTTATAAAGATTTCTGAATTTACCCTACAGAAAGGAATGAGGAATGCAGTGATTTTTCAGATGACAAATCTGTTAGTAAATTAGTCTTGACCACTAATGGAGAAAAACAGCTTCACTACAGCAAACAGATGACCTGTAGCTTGTCAAAAATAATAACGATGTGACAACTTTTGAAAAATGAAAGGCTATATTTTATTTTCACACTGCCAAAACTAACCAAGCTGTAAAATTCCCACTCTGGTTATTCAAGGACCATTGAGGGTGAAATGTAGTTGTGGGGCACACTCACTGACTGCAGTAATGAGAGACAGGTGCTGTTTAATTGACCTGTTAATGGGTCTTATGCTTATCAGGTGGAAAAACAGAGCCATAGACTTTACAACTGAAATATCAAGCCAAAATATGCCAGACCTCAGCCATTTAAACTGCTTCATGGCATGTCATTAAATCAGACTGTAGATGTTTGTTATGACAGCCTGAAAACACAGCTTGTTTGTGTATGTAGAGATGTGTTTGTGGATCAATCTGTCGGTTTTGGTTTGCAGCGAGTAATTTGAATGGCTCAAACTGCTAACAGACTGTCAAAACCTGAGCTGCTTACCTGTCCTTACAAAAAAAGTACTGTGGCCTACTGTACCATACCAAATACCACAGTACTGTGATATACCAAGTCTGTGTCTACTAGTGAAATTAAATTCCTTCATATTAGTTTAGTAAATTGTGCTTTATTTTTAAGGATTTTCTTTTACAATGTATATTCTATATTACTTAGCAATAACAATTTGAGTGAAAAGTTGAACTAATGATATGGTATATTATTCCGTTTTATATAATTGTAAAAAAAAAATTTTTTTTTTTTTTAGTTTTTAAAAGTTTATGGAGGCCTATGGTCTCAGACTTTTGAAAACTGGTAACGGTATTATTAATTGCATACAGTGGTGGCCAAAATTATTAGAACACTTTCACCAGCTAAAAAATGGTTTTAAGTCAGTTATTTCTATCTTTTGCTGTAGTGTGTCAGGAACTTGTGTAAAAATGCTGTAAAATGAGGATGCTGTCAAGAATGTCATAAATAGATTTTCTTTATCAATTAACTTCGATTAACCAAACTAAATCAACATTTGGTGTAAAGCAAGCTTTTCCCTAAAGTGCACTTGAGCATAGTTTTTCAGCTTTGCAGGTAGGTCTCTTGAAGCATATATATATATATATATTAGTATGTATATTGCCTCCAGCTCATGTTAAATGGTCCTGTGATGACAAATGAATTGTTAAAACTAGACTTACTAAATAATACTTCTAAATTAATATATAATGCATATTAACTGTAAAGGAACTATGTTTCAAGTAGTTTTAGATGGAGTACAGCATACCCCAGGGCAACATGTCAAATTCCACTACAGTTTTACCACTGCATATATCAAAAAATGCTAGTACCATGGTACTTTGTTTGTGTAGACAGCATCTGAATCAGCTGTGAGCGACTATGATGCCCAGAAATGCTGTCTAGTTAGGAAGCGCACTAGGTATTGATTAAAAGAGGGGTTTTAGGGCATTATGTTGAGCTCTGTCGGGGGAACAGCCGTGAGCTGGACACGGGTCACCGACTCGGACGTTTATGGATTATTATTTTTTTCTGCATGAAGTGCAAATCACGTGAGATGAATGTGCAATGACAGCGTCCCGACACCGAGCCGTCTCGCGCAGTTCTCGAGGAACGGACTCGCGCTCACATACCTTCATGTAATCGAGCTTCGTCGCGTTTTTACTGTTTTCTTTCTTTTTGTTGTGCTTTTTGGTTTGGTTAGTTTCCTAGCAATGGCTTGGCCGTGCATCAGCAGAGTCTGCTGCTTGGCTCGGTTCTGGAACCAGTTCGATAAATCGGATTTGTCGGTTCCGCTAACGATTCAGAACTACTCTGACATCGCGGAGCAGGAGGTGCGATCCGTCACCAAACTCGTTTCCACGGAACGGGCGCCGAGCGTCGACTTCGTAACGCCGGATCATGCGGCGGGAGTCCGGCGGCCGCACCGGGGACGCACGGAACCGAGTTATAAACCCCGCGAGGACTACCATCCCCCGGGTGTGCCTTTCCCGAGCGTCACCCAGTACAAACAGGATTACAAACCCTGGCCCATCCCGAAGAAAGATAACTTTCCCTGGATTAGTAACGGAGGGAAAGGCGGCACTTTAACGGATAGCCCAGTGAACGGTTACTCTAACGGCACGAGTCATCCGCGGGCGGACAGACAGGAGCGCAGCGGCGGCGGGAGGCAGAGAGGAGGAGATCAGCTCAGCTCATACAGGTACTGCTGCTCTTCTCGTGGAGCTGTTCTTCAGCACCTCTCATCCACTTCTCAACAGTTTCTCATCATCACGAGTAAATGGCTTTTAAGAAGATATTTTACTGCGATCCAACAAAGAAGATTTGGGGATTTATTTGATTTGATTTTAGCCCATTTAGTGAGTAAAACAAATTACAAAGACAAAAAACCCATATAATAATAATACTATATGGATTAATTTCTTTATTTTAGAGTAGAGTAAAAAAAATATTACAAAAGACAAAAATTCCATATTATAGTACTACTACTACTACTAATAATAATAATTACAATCTATTGTTTTTTTTTTATATGTGAATCTATATTTGATTGTATTGTTTTATTTCACTTTAGCCTGTTAATTAAGTAAAAACAAAGACAAAAATACCATATAATAATAATTATTATATATGGATAAATCTCGAGTCTTTGTCATTTCTATTTTTATTTTATGTTGATGTAAAAACATATTACAAATACAAATAATGGTGTATTATTATTAATCTATATTTTATTTTGGCCTATTTGGTAAGTAAAAACGTTAACATGACGAAACCGATCTTAAAAATAGTGAGATTATATGGCCATATTTCTTCTCAATTTTTATTTATCAAATAGACTACTATACTAACATAAAATATGTAATAATATCACTTATTATTGGCATTATTATTATTATCTAAGTCAGACCAGATTTGAATATACACTAGAACCTAAAAGAGTGGTAGCCTATTTATCTCTGAAATAACATATGTTCACTATAGTCTCCAAAACGAATTGCTGGAGGATATATATCTGATTCACATAAACAAGCTTTCACACATTTATCTCTTCCGGTGAACGAGAAGTGTCCTTTCTTTGATGCTGGTTGTACTAATGTGGTTGTAACGGTTGTGCATTGCAGTGATTTTCACTCAGTGTGGTTACTGGTCACTGTCATGCATATTTTATCCGACAGCTCATGAACGAGCGGAATGAATCTAAAACAATTACATAAACAGAGTTATCCGAGGGGAACAAAATGAATTGATTACAAACAGCCCTCAGTGTTCATCAGCCTTTGGTTGAAGGATGTATGAAACCTTCACTTCTAGTCATTTATTCACACAAACCTTTCTTGCATACTTTCATTCTGCATGCAGATTTTTTCTTTTCTAAACCTTGCATATGTATGTACAGATACGTATAGTGAGAATCATTTTTCATACAGGTTAAGCTTGAAGTAAGTCTTTATGGTGGGCACCTGTTGCTGTGATTTGTCAGCATGACTTTAACTCAGCCTGACATGTGCTGCTCTTATCTGCAGCTCCGTCTCTGTCTTTCTCTGTCTCTGTCTGATACATTTGATCTCTCTCTGGAGTCAGGCAGGAGTACCAGCCGTGGTCTGGAGCCCGGCCGTCAAAGCCTGCCAACAAACGGCCAACCTTCCTGGGTAAAGGTGCTGACAAGCCCCCGCCGGAGACTAGCTACCAGGCGGCTTTCAGCCCGGACAGACACACGGAGACCAGCACACACACGCAGACAGAGAGAGCACACTCACACAGGACAGACATCAGCATGAAACCAGAGGTGAGTGAGACAACAGATCAGAAGAGAAAGAGATCAAATCAGACAGTGAGCTGATGTGACAGAAAGATCAACAGAGAGCAAAATTTGAAACCAGATTCTGCAGAATAAGAATGAACTGGAGGCTTTGATATAATCCGCAGGAGACCATTATGTAAAAACAAGTATAGTCTATAAAATTTT